ATTTTATTAAGCCGTGGTGGTGGATTCTTTCCTTTGAGATTTTTTCTATTACTTGATTGAAAATTATTTAGTCTTATTTAATTATTTATTTGTTTTTAGTTCATTATTCAAAAATCATCAAATTGTTTTAAATTTTTTTTCTTTATTCCTTTTAATTGACGTTTTGAATTTATGTTCGAAATTAAATTTGAGAGTAGTTTGACCCTACTTATCACTATATAATATTTAATTTAGTCTTTATAGGTTTTTCTTTGTTTTTGCACGAAGTGTCAACATAATCCAAAAACCTATATTCGTCACTCTACAACAAATTAATTACCACCCTAACACAAATTACCTATTTATCAGACAAAAATATATTTAAAGAAAATAAAATAATTTCTATAAAACACTACAACAAATTATCTATTTATATAAAACTCTACCACAAATTATCTATTTTATTTTCTATAAAACTCTATCACATATAATCAGTATTTATCTGTTTATTATGAGTTTTTTAATAAAAGAAAATCTAATTAGACAAGGACGTATTTAAAAAAAATAAAATAATTTCTATAAAACTTTATCTATTTATTAGATAAAGATATATTTAAAAAAAATAAAATAATTTTTATAACACTTTACCACAAATTATCTATTTCTTACTATAACAAATTAGGAATTCACCAGCGCTTTTTTAAAGATTTTAAAAAGCACTGGTGTTGTGTACTAATTACCATAATATAAGTATAGGTGTGTTTTTGAAAGCGTTGGTAAGTGTGAAATTTAATGCGGGCGGGAAAAATTGGTAATAAAAAAAAAATCTAATTAGACAAGGATATATTTAAAGAAAATAAAATAATTTTTATAAAACTCTACCACAAATTACCTATTATTTTTCAATAAAACTCTATCACATTAGACAAAGATATATTTAAAGAATTTCTATAAAACTGTAGCACAAATTAATTATTTTTTATGAGTTTTTTTAATAAAAAGAAATCTAATTAGACAAGGATATATTTAAAGAAAATAAAATAATTTCAATAAAATTCTACCACAAATTATATATATTTTTTTTTCAATAAAGCTCTATCACATTAGACAAAGATATATTTAAAGGGTCTCTATAAAACTCTAACACAAATTAACTTATTTATCTATTTATTATGAGTTTTTTTAATAAAAGAAAATCAAATTATACGAGTATTATTAATATAAAAAATATTTATTAATTTATATAAAAAAGAGGTTTTAATGTGATATCTCCACAGCCGGCTACCCCTTTCTCGATTTGGTTCATGATTCGGAGTCTATGGCCTCTGAAATCTTTGAAATAAATGCATACGGAGGAAGTAACGCAGGAGGAAGCTCCACTGCCGCCTGCTGCCGAGGAGAAGCCGCCGACCGCTCTTGTTTCTCAATTAGTAATTGATCTGCCCTTTCCAAAGTGTCCTAAATTGAGAAAACCTACTTTAAAAGAAATCGTAGAAATTAAAATCACTGTCATCCGGGTTGAGCTAGCTCTAAAATACATAACCCACGGAGGCCCTTAACACCCTAAAAATGTTGATCATGTGGGCGGCGGCAGCGGGACCATCGTTAATGCAAAGATGTTCATGGAAGAAGAAAAAAAAAGGCTACGAATAAGCTAGAAAAAACATACGAGTCTTTACCCACCCCTCCCAGTGATCTCATAATCGACGTACTCTTACAAATTTTGGAAAACCCAAGGATGATCATGAACCCATTGGTGAGAAATTCATGTGTGAAGTTTTCGACCCGAAGAAGAATAAGTGGGAGGGTATTAATCCACCACCTCTACAACTGCACTCTGTACCACGATGTTATTATCTTTTTGCGGTGTGTGATGAAACTTCAAGGAGGATTATTTTGGGTTCATTCCTGGAAAATATGTTTAAACCTGCAAAACCATTGTTTTTGCACTGTATAAGCCACCCTCTATTGTTTGATAGAACGATTGACTGGATTGAGTTGAATAAACATGGCCATTATCATCCCGGCTTACGTGCTTACCATTTGGATCTCAAAATGTTGATCTACGGGACTATCGTTAATGCAAAGATGTTCATGGAAGAAGAAAAAAAAAGGCTACGAATAAGCTAGAAAAAACATACGAGTCTTTACCCATCCTTCCCAATGATCTCATAATCGACGTACTCTCACGAATACCCGTCAAATCGACTGTGTATCTTTTTGAGGATGTGGGTGGTACATCAGATCCGAGGGATTCGTACGTCATTCAATTATCAAACACGAAGATAGGCGGGAGCATAAAAGAGGCGGCGGCGGCGGAGGCGGCGGGAAAAGAGCTTCTTCATCATATCAAACCGATCATGAGGAACATGCCGCTTCTGCCGAGAAGCTGCTGCGTGGCTGTGGGCTCCACTATATACTGCATAGCTAACAAAGGCTACTCTTGTAACAATGTCGTTGCCTTGGACACTAGTAGGCTGCTGCATTGCAACCAGTTGCTTCAACGAACCGTAAAAGGCTAGGGCTTTCTTGTGTGTCACTAACCGTTGATGGTAAAATTTATGTCTTTGGTGGTTTTACAAATTTTGGTAAACCCAAGGATATGAACCCATTGGTGAGAAATTCACGTGTGAAGTTTTCGACCCGAAGAAGAATAAGTGGGAGGGTATTAATCCACCACCTCTACAACTGCAGTCTGTACCACGATGTTATTATCTTTTTGCGGTGTATGATGAATCTTCAAGGAGGATTATTTTGGGTTCATTTGTAGATGGTTTTTTACTTGCCTATCACTTGACAACTGCCTGGAAAATATGTTTAAACCTGCAAAACCATTGTTTTTGCACTGTATAAGCCGCCCTCTATTGTTTGATAGAACGATTGACTGGATTGAGTTGAATAAACATGGCAATTATCATCCCGGCTTACGTGCTTACCATTTGGATCTCAAAATGTTGATCTACGGGACTATCATGGGTATACATCCTCACTTTTGGGAAACCGCCATAATTTCGATGCAGTTTTTTCATTTTTGTTTCGATGAGTTCTACTTGATTTGGAATGTGGTTCGATGCAAGAGAATGCGAATTTCCAAACGGTTTGACATAGAGAAACAAGAAGGTAGTAGTCTAACAGGTTATGTTCTTTCCACCGAGACCTATGTACTTGAAAACAAAGCTCGCAGCATCAGTGCTGTGGCGATGTAACCTAGCTTCTTCAAGACACTGGTGACATAATTTCTTCTATCTCTACATTGTTGATGATAATAATTTCTTCTTCAAGACACTGGTGGCGTTTTTTCTAAAAGCAAGCCAACAGCTCCTACAGTTCTCGTCCCATAAACAAATTAAAGACGTGCCAACTAAAAAATTCCATCACTTTTTGTCAACCCAAAATAATAATAACTTGAGGCAATTTCATCCCTTGTCTGGCTGGGGCTACTTTTTTCTGCACATAAAGTAAATGAAACCTCATCTTAGTAAATGACATTCAGACAAAATGAGAATGAAAACCAATAACCTTGCACGCCATGCCCTACTCTATATGCATACTATAAGAGTGTTTTTTACTCACCATCCTTAAAGATTAGAATGAGATTTGATAGTCCTATATAAAAGGATAATTATGATGGTATAAGAAACTTGAATGGGATAGAAGACTTCTAGTGCAAAAATTATAAAATCAATGGCAGCGGTAAAACTCACCCCACTAAAAATTGTTTTTCGATATGGAGTTTTTCTTTGTCGTTGTTTCTCATATTTCATTTTGAGTGATTTAGATTTTTGTTTTCGAATTCATTCTCGCTCCCGTTCTTACTTTGTGTGACTTAGGTCAGACTAACAGCTAACTTTTTGAAAATGTATGTTTTAAGGTTTTGTTGAAACCCTTGTTTAGCTAAAATATTTTTTATTTTTATTTTTATTTTCAATGTTTGGTAATGGTCTATATCGAGATTGATGTCGAATACATCGGGCGGAGCGTATAAAATAATTTACCAAAAATTCTTGAATAAATTAATTTTGTTAGGTTTTAATATTTTTTTTGTTCATAAATATTTTACGATAACTAAATACCCGAATATATATATATATATATATATTTTACATCCAAACATACGTTAAAGTATCTTTTTCAGACTTTAATTTAACAGACTTTCCCAGCTTTCAAATACTTCCACTTATTATGTCATAGGTCATTTACATATCATTTATCAATCGGTCATTATTTTTTAGAATGCCTTTTTGGGCTTGTAAGCCCGCTTTAGAGCTCGAGGAAACCATGCCAAAAGGGCACTTGAAATATTTTTATATAATAAAAAAAAAGTCTTAAAAAAAAAAAAAGAGGAAACTTTCTAGATCTCGTCATCACCATCAACTCGTATCTCCTCTACAAGATTAAGTCATTAAAATTTAAAAAGTATGTTATTTACAGGTATAGCCTTATAGGTCTAATATGTATTCAAATTTTTTTTTTTTTTTTCACAATGTATATTCAATTCAGTGACAAAAAATAAGAGCTCACAATAAAGATATAGCCACGTACTCTTTTTTCTTTCCTTTTCTTTTCTTTTTCTCTATAAACACGAAAGACTCCCTTAAAATTTCTTAGTAATATTGTATGTGTGCGTGTTTTTGCTTTGAATATTTAATAAAATAAAAATAAATAAAAATTTGGTAGAGTTCCGATGATTTACAAAAATAAATTTGTCAATACAAAACATGACCATGCAATCAACATGGATAATCACTTTCTTAGTCTTTTAGTGCTTTTACTTTATGATTTATTTTTACATCAAACAGAACCAACATTTTTTATTTTGGGTGTGTTCAATAGTAATTCAAGACTTGAGTTTATTTCATATTCGTTTTCAACGGCATCAGAATCCACATTTTACTGTAAACCACAATTTTCACCCCCTTTTCGTACAAAACAACATGACAAGCAGAAAAATGTCTATGGGACTCCTATGAAGCATTACCACTAAAAATGCAGTAGAAAAATGTGCATGGGTTCACTGAAAAGACATCCAAAATTGTGACATTTTATGCCTTCATTGCAGCAAGGAAAATTTCCAAATAGAAAGACAATTTGTAAAGCAACAAACAGAAATGACCAGATTTCCAAGGCCTGAACAAGCTAATTTACACTCGTCAGCAACAAGAAATTCTAAGTGTTAAAAGAAACAGCTAAAACCATCAACTAATTTCTCAACAAATATAATTTTCGTAGCAATCCATTTAAAATCGTGGTCACCGCCAAGGAAACCAATTACCCACGAGGCTGAAAATCTTCACTTCCTCCTGTGTTTGCCTTTATTAGGTCTCACTATTCTTCGAGACTTATCAGCACCACCAGTGCCCAACGAGAAGCTACCCCCAGCACTGAGATCTAGGCTTCCAGATGCCTGAAATGGAGATGCATTCTGTGTAGCTTGATTCTGCTGGCCACCAAATTGAAAGGGAGTCGTTGCTGATGGAGCTGACGAACCAAACATGAATCCAGATGAAGGCGGGATAGATGGTTGACCAAATATGGGTAGTGCAGGTGTAGATGCCTGTACAGTGTCCTCGGCCATGCTGTCCTCCATGTTCATCTGGTCACCATTACCTGAGGCGGCTGTGAAAACCGAAGTAGGATTACCAAATACAGGCTGCGTTTGAGAGAAAGGCGTCAACGATGAGTGATTAGTAGCAGCTGAAGTGAATGAGAACGTGGAACCCGTTGACGCACCAGTTGATGATCCAAACACCATGGAGGGAGCACTGCCAGTGGTAGCAACAGAAGCCGAGGAGGATCCAAAGGGGAACCCAGTCGACGAAGATGGAGAATTAAACGGCGAAGCACTAGAGGATGCTCCAAAGATGGGAGACTTGGCGGGCTGCCAACTAGAGCCAAATAAGCTAGAGGCACCTCCACTAGAGCTCATAGAGTTGTTCTCCGAAGAGGAAGCTGCAGAACTAAGACCAGCACTAGTCAAAGTTGAAGAACTGAAAAGAGAATTGCCAGAGGGAAAAGTAGTCCCTGTAGAACCAAAAACTGGAGATGAGGCAGACGAAACAAATTGAACAGGTATGGTCTGTGTAACAGTAGCACTAGTTCCAGCAGATGCCTGTGCACCACCCGCATTTGCACTGTCACGGCCAAAAAGAGAACCCTGAGACTGACTATTCGCAGTTGAAGTAGCTGAAGCACTTGCTCCAAAAATATTAGTTCCTGTTCCTGCCATTGCGAAAGATGTCCCACCAAAAGGTGAGCTGATTAGGTTACCAAAGGTTGTATTCTTGTCGGTGATCGCTTTTGAATTGGCATCATCTTGTACACCAGAAGTTGATTCTGCTGAAACTGAAGTTGATGGAGCCACAGTGGATCCAAATCTGAAATTTGACTGAGTGGAAAATAAAGGTGTAGTGGCAGGGGTAGTGACACTGCTACTGGAGACCGTTGCGGGGGTGGTGGTCCTGATTGAAGTCATGGTAGCAGGGGTGGCAGAAAAGGCATTTGCGGGGGTGGCGGTCCCGATTGAAGTCATGATAGCAGTGGTGGCAGAAAAGGCATTTCCGGGGGTGGCGGTCCCGATTGAAGTCATGGTAGCAGTGGTGGCAGAAAAGGCAGTTGCGGGGTTGGTGGTGCTGATTGAAGTCATGGTAGCAATGTTTGCAGAAAAGGCAGTTGCGGGGTTGGTGCTGCTGCTGGTTGAAGTCTTGGTGGCAGTGGTGGCTGAAGAGGCAACAACATGCATAGAGCTATTGGTGAAATTTTGAATGGAAAGATTACTGGGAGGTAGATCTGAAGTGGGGGAAGAATGTGTAGTAAGGCTTGAAGCAAGTGACCCATTATTTAGACTTGAATTGCTTGCAGGGGCACCAAAGGAGAATATGCTGCTTGTTGGTGTTGAAGTTGATGAAGCAGAAGAAAACACCGTTCCAGATTTCTCCATTATATTTCCCACATGACGAGTATTTTTATTATCATCTTTATCTGACTTCACATTTTCCAAGACACTGTCGGTTGGACCAGAAGAAACATTACCAAAGCTGCAATTACACAAATCAGAAAACGCTTAGGGAAACTAAATAAAGATACAAGAATACAAAGTTGGGCTAAAAAAGATTCTCTCCCCCTTGCCCCCGGATTTTCCCATCATTAAGAGACATCGGAACAAACAGTACAATCCAGCAGACCAGAACATATAATTCAGGCAATCCAGCAGACCAGAACATATAATTCAGGAGAATTAACTATCCTCGTACCAAGAATCATCAACTCATGTTGTGTATCACATATTAACTTCTCATATTTTCCACAAAAGAAAAGAAGTACTTACATATGTAACTATGTACATCTAGATAATAGTCATTATAGGAGTGATTTAAGCCATAATAAAAGAGATGTAGGAATGATGGGCGTAGTGGCCAAACCACTTTATATCCTTGTGTTGTTCTTCCTTAATTTCTTTCTTCACTTCTATTTTATTTGACATGGTATCATAGCATGTTTATCATACCCTACTCTAGACTCTTTCGGCTCTCCTCGTTTCACTCAAATTTTGTGATCGGATCTACTCATCTCGAATATCAATATTGTGGATTATTTGCCACATTCTGATCAAGTGATTGGGATTGTGTTCTTCACTCCTGCAACTTATAGTTGTCAACAATAATTTGTCATGACTACTTCATATTTATTTTCAAGTTGGTACACTTGAGTTAAATCTCCATGTATCATTATAGGAGTGATTTAAGCCCTTGATAGAATATTGATATGAGTGATTCATGGGAGTGATTTTAGGAATCCTCCATAAATATATTTTCTATATCTGTCACATTTCTGTATATTTTCACCTATAAATAGAGATGATCATTGTAAACAAAATTAAGAGAGAATATAATAAAAGATGGGTGTGTGAGTACCAACTAGGAAAATAAATAAAAAAGAATATAATAAAAGAGATGTAGAGCCCTTTGGGCTTTGTGTGCTGTAGAAGTACGCCGTAGTGGCCAAACCACGTTATCTTCTTGTGTTGTTTTTGCTTAATTTTTCTCTTCACTTTTATTATATTTGACAAAAATGATGTGTGCTTCACCCGTATATATTTCTATTTAAATTGCAACCTTCAAGTTCAAAATTTTCCCATGATATGAAATTCTATTAATACACTAATTTCCAATGTGTCCTTGAAATGCAGTGAACTCTAAGCACTACAGAAAATAATTCCTCAGTTTTTTTGGGGAACAAAATTAAAGGATGGTATGCCCAAAAAGGATTATAATATGTCTGTTTATGATCCATTTGAAGCAGAAAAGCCAAAGTATTTGCTAATCATAATAAATGAGAAAATAGGAAAAAATGAGTACTAATAAATAAACACTGACCTGTTTGAGCTCTCTGGTTTTGGATCTAACAAAACACTAGTTTTAAGGCCTGAAGAATCACCAACAGAAGATGAGGAAGGAAGTATGAATGATTTATCAACATTCTTATTCCCAAGACTAAACAGAGGAGGAGGAACATTTGGTTCTTTTGGTGGAACAGGTTTACCAAATGCTGAGGTTGGTTGTGGAGTAGGAACAGCTGGCTCAAGAGCCATGCTGGAAGAATGTGCAGTAGGGAACGTAAAGCTAGTGCTTTTTTCACCAGCCAAATTCTTATCATCATTCCCCAAATCAGTTCCTTTATTCAACTCAGAACCTGCAGGAGGATTGAATTCTGACAAAGTTGGATTTCTGTCAACAGCTGCTGCTTCACTAACAATGCCCTTGTTCTCCACCACAGGAGTCTCCGATTTTTCTCTATCAGCCAACAGTGTAGAGACATCATCATCATCCAGCTCCAGAGAATCCTTCACAACATAGAACCACAACATTAGACTCTGAACAAACTTCAAAGACATATAAAAATCGAACGAACAAAGAAATATAAATTATTTAGAAGACATTAAACAATACAGTCTTCTATTGAACTCCAATGATAGCATTATAAACAAAAAAAATAACTGTAGTCAGCCACTAAACACGTGTTTCTTAGGGAAAAAGAAACTACATTTTTTCCATGAAGTAGAGCCACTCCACCCAATAGAAAGGACAATCAAATAGTCACATGAACTTCTAGATTGCGTTTTTACAAGATGTATAAAGGTTAGAAGAAAGGACTCCTTGAGTATCCCATCATCAGAACTGCCAAAACGGTCAAGAATATATAGACTAAAACTTATACAAGATGCAAAGAATACCAAGAAGACAGCAGCTTGACCTGGAGAAACTAATAGACCAGAGCGTAGAACCAACCTCGTGAGCACTCATTCGAAAAGCCCGTTTCTTTTGAGGAGGTTGATCAAAAAAATTTGCAATGGCTGAATCAGCACTTTTAAAACAGGGTACAGAATTTTTAATTGAAAATGTATCATCGGCGCCAATTACTGCAGGAGGGGATGAGTCACAAGGTACAACCAACGCTTTTGGGACATCTTCAACCTTGTCTTGTTTTTGAGAAGTAGAATCACGAGCATCAGGCAAACTGGTGTTAAGCGTATCCTCCAAGTTATGACTATTTTGGAATTTCTGCAGACACTTTGATGAATCTACATCCTCCAAGCTTTTAAGAGCCTTTCCACTAAGCATACTTGGTGTCAATCTAGTGGGTAATTTATTCCTTGCAGCAACTAGCTTGGTCTCGGATGATTTCTCTGTTGACTTTAACTTATCAAGCTGCTGAAATATTTTTGTTGCCATCTCAGTGGACTTGGAAGGAACTAGGCCAAAACTGGTTCTGCAAACACCGTTATCCTCATTCTCTCTGAGCATGTTTGAGACTTTATGTGTATCCAACAAATGCAGTTTCTGTGTTGAAGATGTAGGATGTTGTGCAGTATCAGAACCAACTTCCATCATTTGACAGGAAAGAGGGCTTCCAGAAACTGATAAGCTCAAACCTTTAGGAGATAAGAGATTAGGTTTTTGTCGAATTCTGCGTATGGGTCCAACAGATCCAATATTATCCTCTAAGACATAACTCCTACGCTTTAAAGCCTGCAAAAAATATATATATATATATATATATATTAACTATAAAAGAGTAAAGATGAAATAATAATAATAATATAATAGTGCTGTGTGTTGAGTGTGAGAGGGCGGAATGGAGTTCCATCATCTCCTCTAAAAAAATACCACTTGTTTAGACCCAAAACGTCCATCTTTCTCCCACGCATACTGAAATGATGATGACGATAGCACACCATAACCATTATTTCTGGACCCAACACCCTAAAAATTTGAGAAAAATATTTTATGTATTAAAACTGGGAAACAATAGAAGAAAAAATCCTATTCATATACACATTGCCAAGCAAAAAAACCTTTTGGTCATTGGAAAGAACCCTGGGATATGGTGTGCGCGCCATACAGTATATTGCAGATCTGCCACGAGATCTTGGGGTGATAAAACCATTTTCAGGTAGCGCAACACAGGCAGCAGACTTAGAAGCCAGTGACATGACGGGTGATTTAGGAGTAAATGGTACATTATTTGGCAGAGTTGCATCTTCCCTCGGTACCTGACTGTGGAATACTGACATTGACGGCAATGCTTTTGAAGGCTTACCGCCCATGTAAACTTTAGCAAGCTCAGCGGGTGAAGCAACATCTTCAGGGACCTGGGGACATTTTTATCTCAAAAATGTGAAAAACAGTGCCATCACGCACAATAAGTATTTATCATAAAATTAGAGTACATGCAGAACAGAGGAAACACAATCGAATGTCAATCAGAAACAGAATAAAAGTGAACACGCTATCTTACTCTTGAACAGTCAACAGGGGCTGAAACGACTCCATGTAGTCCATGGCTCTCTATTCCATTCTCTTTCCTTGGACAACTAGAAAATTCCCCCTGCCTTGCAGATGCAGAAACCGGCTTTGGAAGATTTGCTTCATTCTTTTTGTTCTCATCCCCAACCGGTAAATCAGAAGTTCTCGATTGCAGGAGTTCTGTCAAACGATCAATCTCAGATCTGTACCATAACAAATTATTATCAAAAATACTGCAGAAATCCCCAAGGCTATGAAAAAACTGAGACCTTCAATTGACAGAAGCAACCACAAAATTCATAAATGTATTTAACAGCTGGAGAAAATTGGAAAGCTGCTCATAGGAATATAGCGGTGAAAGCTCATAGGCTTAACCCAACCCGCGCCAGTGCCTAATCAAAGCCTGAAATTGGACCAACATGAAGAAAATAAAAGGGTGCAACCATTTGAAGTTTGACAGCCATCTGTGACTGATTACTTATGTTAAATTACCAAAATGGCCTTAACAATTATATGTGTGTGTGTGTGTGTGTGTGTAAAATAGTGGTCGACTTGTTCACCTCTCATCACACAACTTGAACATTCTATTCTCATTATTCTGAGATTCTCATTAATCGCAATTCTCGAGTGCTAAAAATCTTCTCATTTGATATTTCTTGTATAATTATTTTGAATACGTGATGTGGTTGAAGAATTTAAGAGTTTCGTCTACTGGAATTTCAACAAACCATTATTTTTGTCAAATTATTTGGCTTTTTATTTTTGTTCTGTTAGGAATATGAGTCGTGTATTAACTTCTTTTTTTCCCAGAATTTAAAGCAAACGCACACCCCCAAAATACGACCCTCACGGAGTTTGAACTCTCAACCTCCCCTTTGGGGATGAGAGATCATACCAATCAGGCTACCCAGTGGTCATGTGTTGGCAATTTCCTACTCAAAAAATTAGTTCTTATATGTCAAAATGTCATGAGTCATGAAGAGTACAACCATTGAAACAGAGTAGACAATGATTAGCAAAGAACACGGCGTTAAATCTACACGTTCAATCACATATCTAGGGCACAGGTAAATAACCTTAGTAAAACCTTAGCTGACCTAGTTTGGATCTTGGAGACACTCAAAATACCTATTTAAATTTGCTTTTTGAAAATAACTTTACAAAGTATTGATTTTTTAACATGTTTTAAATCTAATTTTCTATTGAACAACAATAAACACCATTCGATAGGTCAATCGGTAAGGGTTCTGCAGTAGACTGTGATTGATAAAAAAAATTCAAAAATCTTCTTATTAAACTACAATACACGTCAATTGATGCCTCAATCAATTGAACCCTGCAGAAGTTTATTTTTGGTAACTCTCTTAAAACATATTTCTACAAGGATTTAACTTACCAAAAGGCATGGATCATCTATATTGGCTCTATGTATCAGTCTATACACTATAGTCAATCTGGGGAATCAAACCATGCCTCTAAGCATCTTAGAGAAAAGAAAAAGAAAGAAAAAAAAAACACGCGAGAGACACAACTTCTTTTAGAACTCAATCTAGGAGTTTCTTTAGATACATAGATACTCCCTCTGTCTCAAATTAAAAGTCCCCATTGGGAACTGTGACTCACAATTTAAAAAAGGAGAAGTTCATCAGAACACCGAGGCAAATCAATTCAACCAATCAAAACATAGAGTAGAACGATTAAACAACCATGGAGAAGCAGAAGTTTGTTAACTGTTGACGAAAAAGATCAAGGGCCTGAAGACTCTGAGTATGAGCTTGGCTACAATCGACGTCATGAGATAACTGAGGGTTCTAGGGAGTGGAACTGTCAACCTAGTTGTAACAATTTTTCTCTTATAATGGATTATTTATGGCAGGACTAGGTCTCATGGTTTTCCTGATTAGGGTTTTTCACGTAAAAATTCTTATGTCTCAGCTGTCTATTTATTTCCATGTTTACTTGTATGTGATTGGATACTAGCTACAAAGAATAACTAAACAAACTAAAAATTCAATCCTCGATCTGCAATCATTTAGTGGATAACTAAAATTTAAAATTACGATCCCCAAGGCCTATCCATCTCCTCTAGGTTATATTCAAAACACACACGCCACCCTCGTACCAAAGAATGTCCTCCACAACACCAAGTATACAATCAGTTCCTGACTATGTCAAAATCCATTAGGCATCAATTCACAATCACACATTAATTTCTTTATGGAGCTAGTACAAGGAAGACGCTAAAAATACACTGCATGCAAAAAGTTGCCAGGACAATGGATACTTGAAGTTATAAAAGTAAAGTTACATTATATATGTGTGTGTGTGTGTGTACAAAAAAGGGTATATTGAATGTCTAGCCAATAAAAGTTACCTGGAAAATGTCTTCTGCTTTAACATTTGCTCGAGCGCAGAAATTGCACTACTGTCATAGCTATTACTTAGATTGGCAGAGTCATCTACAATTGGTTCTCGAGTCCCAGGAGGATTCTTTGGAGAAAAGTTCTACATATCACAAATATATCAGAACCATAGGTAAAAGTATGACAATATTATAACAGACCAAAAAAAAAGTAACTGCAACTATATACTAAAAAGGGGTTGAAATATCTATGAGAAATTGACAGGAGTATATTTTTTTTTTATAAGTGAGAAATTGACAAGGAGTATGAATTTGGTAGGGGAACAACTATTCATCAGACACATTCATGAGCTGATTCAACATTGGTCAGCTATCTGTCTCATTAGAAATTCCAAAAGCAGCATACATCTTTCAATTTTATTTTACTTATCAAAAAAAAAAAAAAAAAAAGCAGCATACATCCACTATCTAATGAAAAAGGCATATAGACAGATTGGACACCAAAGGGGCTAAGGTAACCATGGATAGTTCACAAGCAAGCTATACTTTATCATCCTTTTTCCCACGAAATAAAAAATATAAATAAATAAAAAGACTAAGAAGAAGCAGACTAAGGGTAATATCAGCAGTACTTTCCAACTAACTCAGAACATTAATTACAACAAATTTGAAGGCCATTTTTGTCAACATATTAAAGATTTCAAGACTGTAAATAACTTGGCTATTATTCTAGGAATTTGCAGCATAAACATGGGCTTTGGAAAATCTATGACATAGATCTCAAATGCCCATCTGAACACTTATTTTCAAATTCCACATATTTGAAAATCTAAGATTTTCAACTATTTGAATTAGAAATCCAATTATCCACTCAAATTTTATAAAACAAACCCTCCCAAAAAGGATTTATTTAAAAATGCTTAAATCTCATACGAACCATCCAAACAATGAATTTTAAATTCCACATATTTGAAAATCAAAGAAATTCAATATTGGAATGAAAGATCTAACAATCACGTCCATTTCATGAACCAAATGCACCATGACTAATCACACCCTGTTTTAATTTTTCATTACAACTATATTTTTTTCTGCACACTAAAATAAACCCACAATAACAAAGGATCTAGCTTAGTGGTATCTCCTCATCCTCATCTTGCATCGTGATCAAGGGATCCAGTATTAGTGGGTGCGTTAATGTGTTGGTTTGTGTATTGTATTCCCTACCAATATATTTTATATATATGTGAGTGTTGGTGTGTGTGTGAACCCACAATAGACGTCCACGGTTCATATGCCATGTGCCAGAAACTATCAAAGAGAGGCAGCGAAATATCCGTCAAATTTTTATTTGAAAAAATGTAAATATCCAAGATGAATTGAATGTGTCCAAATATGTCTGGGAAGTATCAGTGCCTAATAAAGAGCAGAGCATAAGCAGTTGAGAACATAAACATATAGAACTCACCATCGAATTAAAATTTAGGAGAGAGACAGAGAGAGATTAAAACATTTAATGATAAGGGATGTAAAAAACTAAATTACAATGAGGAACAAATTAGGAATTAACAATACTACAAACATATTTTTATCTTAAAATTCAAACTTACATTGGGTACTCCTGTTTGGCACACCTGAAGTGTGTCCCTTGATTCTTGGTTTGCCCCTGATTATATTACAATTTATGAGATATGACTGAATTCCGGAAAATAATAATCCGCATTTAAATCATGAGCAGTAAAATAACCAAGATGACTTAAAATGACAATAGTTGTAACAAAAATAGATAGAATAGCATATCATTTAAAGGAAAAGTGACTATTCATAACAAATGACATAAATTACACTAGAAAATGACGCCGCATCAAAAAAAAAAAGAAGTATTCCGTATATTAGATACCAATACCAAAACAAGATCATCTTAACAAAAAGAAGTATTCCGCAAATCAGATACCAAGACCAAAACAAAATCATCTTCTAAGTCAAATAAATAAATAACAATGATCATTTCAACCATAAAAAGCTTTAAGGAAATTCAATTAATCAAGGATAGAATTATTTCAAATACATGTATGTTGTTCCGAGGCTAACAATAAAGTTACTCCACACAACCAGGCCACTAGCTCGGTTAATATGATCTCTTCTCCCTTAAAGGGGAGGTTGAGTGTTTGAATCTTGCTAGGGGCATGTTGCAAGTGTGCGCGCGCGCTTGACTTTCGGAGCTGGAGGGGAGGGGGGAATAAGTTACTCTACATTGTTCCTAACAAATGCCATTGGCCTGATCCAAATCTCTGCTTTACAGGCAGCATGAAAGGAATCCAAGCAGTAAGAAGAACGTCGTCTTGGAGAATTGTAAGGGAAGTCAAACTAAGACTGCATTCGTTTTCCTCTCAGATTAAACTGAGTTATGGACTCTTTTTGCATCCTGTTCTGGGAGTGCATGGTCACCATGCTCAGCCATTTATGAATGAATCTTACCCTTCTTCATTTAGGGAAAAAAATAATCTTACTCTTCTTCGGACCCTCCCAAAACAAAAGTGAACACAGACAGTTCAGTAATAATAGAAGCTGCTGTGACTGCAATAGAAAGGGACTTTATCGGACATCTCTTTGGGCTTTCTGGAAGACATTTGAGTGGAGAGAGATTTGGAAGTTGGAACTTTATGCAATATGCCATATGGTGGAAATGGCTTCGTGAATGGGAACTCAAAACCTTTGGGTAGAATCTGACTCATTATATGCATTCAAGATGATTCACTCCCCCAACAAGAAGATAGAACGCAACAAAACTGTCTTTTTCAAAACAAAACTGTCTTTTTCAAAACGTCAAGCAAAAAAACTGTCCATATATATTCAACTTCCTAACTGCTCTATACTACCTTAAGGGTATTAAACTAGAGCAAATCAGATGTCTTCCACCTCTTCACAATACACTTCCCCGGACAAACGAACCCTACACCCTAAAATAACAGAATCTCTAGACTCTCTTTTTTTTTTTGTAAGTAACAGAATCTCTAGACTCTCATAAAGCTTTGTAAATAACCGCTAGATAAGTAGGTTTAATAACTCCCGACTGTAACCTGTGGCACTTACAATTAGAGATGTTCAACTTGGTAATGAAGATAGATGAACAATCCCTGAGCCTGGAACTTATGAAATTCAGGGAAAACATGGAACCAATTGACATTAAAAAAAAATAAAAAACGTAAATCTTAACATAAGTTGCCCGATATTTGAGATTTCCAAAAGCCACCAAGAAAAAAATAAATAAATTACAAAATCCTCAGCCATCTTGAAGAAAGAGAATCCAATTCCTCAACCCCAATTAATGCTATACGAGTAGTGACAGAACAGATAACTAAACCAAAATAATGTCTTTACACTCCTTTATTACAAAACTGCCAAATCAAGGACGACATATAAAACCCCACGAAACAGAAAAGCAACCACTATTAAAAACTTCAAAAAAAAAAAAAAAAAATTCCTCAACCCATCCCTAAAAATTAGTGCGAAATTGATTTCCAGACAATGTAATTGTTCGACAGACAACTTCCTAATTGCTCACTAGTGTCATCATGGTTATATCCAAAAAAATCGAAATTCAAGCAAAACCCAAGTCTTTCCACTTCTTAACAACTCAATTCCCAATCAATTTAGCCCTAAACAATTGAAAACCCAAAAAGCAAACTATTTACAATACATAAACACAAACGTATATTTATGTATATGTATAGAACCTGGTGAGGGCTGTGGAGGAGGAGGAAGGAGGCGCTTGCGGAACACAGAGGAGAAGAACAAGTGAGCACTAGCGGAGATGAGTTTGGACGCTGGGTCGACGAGTTTGGAGAGCCAATTGTTTCTGTGGCCTCTAAGAGCAGTGGGTGGCCGATCGTACGGCGTCGCCTGTGGCCTCCGGAGCGGCCTCTTTCCAAATTTGCCTCCTGCTCCTCCGCGTCCATCGCCGGTCGTCGCCATAGAAAAAACTCAAATCTCAGCTCTCCAATGAATCAATGGTAGAGAGAGAAAGTGAACGGTGGAGAGAGAGTATGTGTGTGTGTGTGAATGTGTGCGCAAACTAGGGTTCTTTTCCGTACACAGCCAGCGAAATTTAAAAAATAAATAAATAAATCCAAAAAGAAACACACCGATACGGGAGCGCATGATAGAGAGAGAGATAGAGAGAGTGTGAATAGTGATCCAATGGATCTAATAAATATTTAGGGAAAACTATAGTGAGGGCAGTCCCATTTGAGCTCACTGTATATTTGAGTCTTTTTAGTACTTGGGGATGATAAAGCGACAGGGAATATTTTGATAAGGAAAAACAGGTGAATCTCTACCGTTGCTTATGATGAAAAATCATTTGACTTCAATTTTAGATGGGTCATTGTCAGATGGTTTACCTTTTTAAGTCAGATGTACTTGTAGTGTCATTCTTGTTATTTGTCACTTTTTGTTTTGTTCATGGATTGGTGGATGGTGGGCAATCCAAATTGTCCAATCTTTTTTGTTGTGGAGTTAAAAATATCAACACAATTAAACTTTATGAATTTAATTAATTTAAGTGGTTTGGTCAAGTGCTCCAATAACATTTTTTCATTAAAGTTCTATTCAAAGTGGTAAGCTTAGTTCTTAGAAGCATTCCCTTCTTTTAATTTTCAGAAGATGTATTAATTTGTTCTAGAATTTTACTTTGTTGTTATTATTGTTATTTAAGCATTTACTGTTGATTTACTATAATTTTAATTGGAAAATGTGTACAACTAAGAAGGTCAAATTACCTCATCCAAACAATTATGAATCTTTCTCAATTAATTGTGTTGATGCATAAATCTGCATGACCCGATCCAACGTCGTTTTCTGTAACAAAGAGAGATAGTGATTTTTGTCGACACCGGGATAGTGCTTGCTAACGGTTCTCAAATGATAAGTCAATATGGAACCTATGAAATTTAAGCAATTAATATATTATTTAATTCTTGCGTTTCTTTTAAATTTCCGGTAACTAACTCCATCGTCAGAAAGTTATTGGCAGGCACTGGTGTCGTCAAGATTGATCGATCTTCTATTTTCTTCTTTGCAGAAAAACGGTGTCGTATTGGGCCACGCAGATTTCTTCACCAACAGTTGACGCTATCTGTGGAAACAATGAGTTTCCGGAAGAAATTATAATTCACGCATGATCCGGTCCTTTTACTCCATCTCTAAAATCTTTAATGACGAAAAACGATTATTAAATTCTTACCTTTTTTTTAGACCTCTGATAACTGATTTGATCGTCGGAGAGTTTTTGACAGGTATTACACCGGTGTCGTCAAGATTCATCTATCTTCTACTCTCTTCTTCACAGAAAAACAATAACAAATTTCTTCACCAACAAATTGTATCACCAATGTCGGGCCTTTCATCTTATCGCTCTAATAAGTACCATACATCCTCGTCCAAAACAGTCTATTAACTCTGTTTTCTTTTTCTTCTTTTTTTTTTGACATCAATACATTCTCTCTCTGCGCGCCACTCTTCACTATTGTTGTGAGGATTTCAACAATGTCAAATTATTCATCTTTTGGCCACATTGTTACTTATAGTTAAGTGTTTATACTTCATCTATTTAATTTTAATACTTTTTAAATTTTATTTTCCTTCAACATGAGAATATAATTTGATCAAACATAAAAGGATGTTATTTTAATTCACACATTTTACTTATGTTTTACCACCATCATTATTATCATTATCATTACCATTATCATCATCATCCTTATATTTATTTGTGCGTCGCATCTCTTTTTTCACTATTTTGTATCATATGCCATATCTTCTCCTAATTTAAATTTTTTTCAAGTATTTTTAATTACTTCATTGAGTTAATTCCATGTTACCCTTATACAATTAAATCATTATATGAATGGAATTAAAATGACTCATCTTATCTTATAATTAAAAATTCAAATGGACCATATATTTAAATTAATATATGCATGTTGTTAAATTTTAAACCTATACTTTTATACCAACATTTATACTACTAATTCAAAAAATAGTTGAACCCGAATCAATTTATTTTAAGTCCCTCAATACAGATGTAGCCTAAGCCCCCTAACATCGAGATTTTCTACCTAAATTTTGCACTCAATTCAATATTCATCGTATTTATGCTAAAACTGAATGATTTTTTAAGCGAAACATATTCAAAGTGTACCATTAAATAATCAATTCATTTATTTAAAATTAAGCAAAATAGAATTATCAAACAATAATTATTAACCAGTATGTCACGCAAACAAAAGTATTCATGAAATACGAAAATGAATTATGTTGCATTTTGACCTTATTAATTACTAGTAATAATTACTGGACTTGTTAGTATATTACAATTATTTGTCCCCCTTAAGGGTGGGACCAAGATCACCTCAAGTCCCACAGTATCTCATTTCCTTATGAACAGTAGTTACTAAGGTGGATAAAAATATTTATTTGTTTTATACACAATTTCCATATATATATATATATATAAATATACAATGATCACAAATACTCTTTCTTCTTCCCTCCCTTAATTTTAGTAACCCAAATCCCGCCATTTTCTTCTCTCCCAAAATATCCCGCCATTTTCTTCTCTCCCAAAATATTAATTTTGACAAAATCCCGACATTTCAACAACTCAGATTTTGATTTCTTTCCAAAATATTGTTTCTTTCCAAAATATTTCAGCAACCCAGATTTTGCCGTTTGGGTGGAGATTTGGAACGCGAGAAGGACCATTGATTTGTTTCCATTAATTTAGATGTTTGGGATGTTGCTCTGTTCCAATATTTCTCCATTCATTTGTTTCCATAAATTTTTTCTTCCATTTCTTCATATACTAGGTCAGTTTATTCCAAAGATTTATTTCCATAAATTCAGATGCCAGTCCAAATGTTTGGGATGTTGCTATGTTCCAATATTTTTCAATTCCTTTGTTTCCATAAATTGCTCTATTCATTTGTTTCCATAAATTTTTACTTCCTTTTCTTCGTATACGAGGTCATTTTATTTGTGTACTGCACAACATCCCAAACAGTTTGTAATTTAAGTTAATATAAGTTGTACATAATATCCACAGTTTGTAATTTAAGTCAATATAAGTTGTACATAATATCCCAACATAATCCTAATAAATTATTTGTACATAACATCCCAACAGTTTGTAATTTAAGTCAGTATAAGTTGTACGTAACATCCCAAGCAATACTAAAAATAGGTAATACAACATTTTAGGTAATACAACATTTTTGTATAAATCTAATCTGACACATCAGAATTTTATCCCATTTTAAATAATACTTACCATTTTAAGTGGTATGTTTTCAGTAGTATTTAAATTTTCGTTATCAATAATTAGATAAGTCCTTAATCCATTCAGAATTAATCAAACAGATATAGATATATATATGTGAAATCCTTCATAACCGTACAGTTGATAGAAAGTAAAATACAAACTAGTCTTCAATTCGTCACTCATTGACATTCACTCTCGAGCATTAATGACATTAAAACATAGACCTATTTCGTAGGGATTCGAAATATACTGAGATGTTATTGTTCAAAAATATATCCAAAACTTAACAAAAATAATGATGAGAAGAAAAATAATAATTTTCTTCTGCTTAGTGTACAACATAACAGAGCTGGATTTAGTTGTAAGAGAATTCTGAATGAATTCAAAATGCGTACACAGAATGAGCCAGGCTGCTTCTTCAGTGAGCATTGGTGTTCCGGCATATACACATAATACACTCCTCCTAACTCTATGAATGTATTTTTGGTCACAATAAAGATTAAAAAGAACAAAGAAACAAGAGCCTCATGGAAGCCAATGCTGCTAAATTCTCGGTGCATCTTTGAACCCAATGCTGAAACTCTTATCTAGGCACTTCATCCCGCAAATGCCAGCGTTCCCTTTTTGCATCATGGCCACAAACTCATTGTAGTCTATGCGTCCGTCCTGAAAAGTTGATTAAGAATCGGAATTATGAACTTCTACAAATAATCATATGGTTTTTCAACTCAAACTAATTCAAACTGTGAAATGCGGTCAATCCATGCCACATGGATGCCTAGTAGGCTAGTACGATGTGTTTCAAACTTAGTTTTAGAACTCAAATCACCGGGCTCAATTCAAAAGTTAACTTTGTATCAAATTACTTCAGCTCCATAGATGCTAGTACAAATGCTTAACTATGTCGAAAAATTTATTCACGGTTGTATTAATGTCATTGATCTTTCATTTGGAAAAGAAAAAAATACATAAATAAATAAACTGAAATCAATTTGAGTTGTCAGCTGAATCGTCTTCATTCATTAGACCAAGTTATTCCCAAATTGAGTTTCTCGAATTTAAGACAAGTAAACTTAGGCAACTTTTTAGTGTAAATCAGTAAAGTTTAGAACACTGGTTTCAAGAATCATGGATGCAGGTGAATTTTCTTAACAGGCACGGAGAATTCGTAGAACGATGAAAAGGAAAAACTTACATTGTCCTGATCAACTTCTCGGATCATTTCTTCCAGGCGGACATCCTCTGCGCCAAATTCCTCACAAGCTTGTTGAAGCTCATCCATAGTGATATAGCCACTTCCGTCCTTATCGAAGTATGAGAAAGCTGCAAATAGATGATCTTGTCTCTCAACTTTGTTTAGATGCAAAGTTGCAGCTATGAACTCCCCATAATCAATTGTTCCACTGTTGTCAACATCCGCCTACAATTTAAGAGCATGCAGAGAATCAGAAACAAAATTAAAGACACTCATTCACAATAATTTTCATACTTTTACGCTGACATATGAATGCCTCATAAACACTAAAACGACTTTTATTTTTATGCAGAATAATTTCTATAATACAGATCAAAGGAAATTAAGAATAAAGATTCAACAAGTATTGAGATTTTTGCCAATAAAAAATAAAAAGTATTGAGACTTTTGATACTGTGATATTATTCTAAAAGAACCTCGAAAAGTATCATACCTTCGCCATACTACTCAAAATGAAGAAATCAATATGTCGTAAAACATTGTATTTTAAAAAAACCCTCCAAAACAATTCATTTTTTTACTTTAAGGACACCACAATTGTTAGAAAGATTTGACTTGGAGAAAATTGGTGATGCTGCTTAATACACACCAACAAAATTATGATATTAACACTGAAGTGCAGAAAGAGAACACGACCATCATGCCGGTACATGAACAAGGAATATTAGGTTGTGCTTCAAGGAGAAGAGGAAGATATCAAAATGGGGCATCTCAAATAATTTGATACTTAGCAGATCAATTATCACAAATGGCGTTTCACTATATGATGAACGTGGAACAGACATGAGCCTCAAGATTCAGAATGCAATGAACTTAAAAAAATAATAATATAATCAAATTAATCTATACTGTAATTATGAATTACTTTTGGCTGCTTTGGGCAGGTTATCTCCTTACCATTTTCCAGTAACTATGTAATACAAAATGAATTTCATATTTACCTAGGTCTTCCCTCTCTTTACTTTTAAAGTTATTGAAAAAGAAAGAATTCTAAACTGAATATATTGATTTTTTATGTGATAAATTTTTTTCCTGGTTTTGCAGCCTAAAAACTATTACTTTTACCATCAATAAAACATAAAAAGAGAAACCTGCTTAAGGACTTGAGATGTGGCTTAAGTTGCTTTCTCTATGCTGAAAAGTGTGCATTAACAACTTGTCACACACCCCCTGTTGGACTCTCAAGCAAGTCGCTTAGGAGGAGTCTGCATGGCATGAGAAGGGTTGATTTCTAGTGTCTGAAAGATTATAGAATATTGTAGAGCTTGTAGATAAGTGTTCTAGAAGATAGATGGGATGTCTATATAAGGAGAGGATGTATCATTTGTAAGAACAAGCTACAACATATAGAAGTCACCTAACTTGCAATTTTAGCTTCTATGACCACCGTCACCCCATTATGTACACCTTGTCCTATAGTTACATTAAGCATCAGTTTCAATTTTAGTTATTGTATGTCCATTATGCACCAACCATTTGCCATAGTAGGCAAACAAATATTCTACAAACAAAAAGCATCCACTCCAACTAATATTCTTTCGCTACTCCAAGCAGCATTTGAAATCTGCCGCCAGTAAATTTACAGCAAGCTACTGGTAAATTCACGGTAGCATGGCTCAAGTGGTTGAAATATATATTTAGAGTTTGACACGACTCGAACCCTACACGAGATGAAGTAAAAGAGTTTATGAAAATAAACATATGATTTTCCAGTGATTAGAGTAGCAAATCTTGATATATATATTTATATATATATATATATTATAATTTTGTCTACTTGACTATGGCTGATTGATGTTTTTCTTGTTATTGGGTTCTGGAATAACTATCTAAACTTGTTGATTTAGACTATCTTGTGGACTTGTTTATTCAACGGGTTACACATGTTGTGTCGTGTCATCTTAATGTGTTACACATGGTGTCGTGTCATCTGTGTAATAAACTCGTCGTGTCAATGTTGAAGGCCTGACATGATTATTAAATAGGCGTTTTCGAGTTGACTTGTTTAGTAAAATACCGCCATGAATTGCTTATTAACGGAAAAGTGACTATTCATAACAAATGACATCATATACACTACAAAAATCACACCATATGTCCAATGGTATAACCTCCCCTCCCTCAAAGGGGAGGGGAGGGGTTCGAGCCTAATGTGGGCAAAAAATGTGTGCGAGTGTGTTTCTTGCCAATTAAAAAATAAAATAAAATAAAAAATAATAATAAGAGTGTGTCACAAATAAGATACCAAGAACAAAATCATTTTAAAGTCAAAACATCATTTTCAACCATAAATTTTTGTTTAAGGAAAATGAAGTAATCAATCATATTGATCTTTTATTTGATATTGTACATGTTTTAGAGCGTGAGAACTACCTAAGACAAAGCAACTACAGGGATAGACATCTACATCAATATAACATAAAAAGAGAAATTTGCTTGAGGACTTGACATGTGACTTAAGTTGCTTTCTCTATGCTTGAAAAGTGTTCATTTTGTCCGACTGCCTAGTTTGTACAAAAGTCTCATCAATCTTTCACCCAGTTTCCTCACTCTCTCTTTTTTTTTTAATGGGACAAATAGTATCGCCTAATTATACCTTCTGATTTCATTGAATTTGACCTGGACCATATGTAATTAGTGAAGTGGCAAAAAAGAAGCACTGATAAATTTGTACCCGTCCCGTCCATCATTTCTCTCACATTAAAAGCACCTAAAAAAACTTGCACACTCCCCTGACATGTTCCTTCTCATAAAAGTACTACAACATTTGTTCTTTTCAAAACAATGAGTTTGGCTCACCACATAATCCCTCCTCCCCTTTTTAAAATCCTTTACAATTCATAAACTATATATTCACAAAACATTGATGGGAGTGGAACACGATCTCTGTTCTCATTTTTATTTGTCTGATCTTATATATAAAGTAGGGTAAAGTGCATTTAAACCCCCTCAACTACCCCAACTGCAACTAACCCCCCTCATCTACAAATAACCCCCTCCAACTATGAAATTGGTTAAGTTTTAGGACAGAGAAGATTTTTCCGGTCATTGTCTTTGACGGAAAAGTTAAAAGACTTTTTTTACCCCTTCTCAAAACTACTTCGTTTTGAAATTTACTCACTCAAGTAAATGAGGTGGCAGCTAGCAATCTCAAAGACCAATACAGCACAGCCACCTCATCACATATCAAACTGTTGATATCGTCAGCAACCTTATCACAAAGCATCGCCTTTATTTTATTATTATTTTATTTTTTCAAACTCAACATTACATACATATGTATATATTCTTTCTTCTTCTTCCCCAATCTCCACCATGGACGGCCAACACCACCATCTCTCTACACCAAGTTCTCCACCGCCATCTAAGCCTTTATCACAACCACGTGTATATACAAGTACCACAGTGACATATTCCAATGGTGACCGTAAAAATCAGTCTGGTGATTGGGTTTTACTTGCGATTGGATTTTGCTTGGTGATCGGTGACAAAATATTCATAGGGTTTTGTGATTGGGTTTGCTTGCGATTGGATTTTGCAAAGCAGTTCTTCTGATTGGGTTTGGCGAGGGGTTGAGAATTTTGCAATTTGGTTTGCTTGTGATTTGGGGTTGAGAATTCTGCCACTTGTACCACCAATTCCCGAAATTGGAGCTGCCGCAGCGGAGTCACGGCGGCCTTTGGTGTTCTAGATTTGCAGGAGACCGGAGTCCGACTCGTCCACAGCTTGATGGCCTGCACCGAGGCGGTCCAAGAAGACAATCTCAAGCTCGCCGATGCGTTGGTGAAGCACATTGAACCCAACCCATCTCAGCACAAAATTTCCAATTACCGATACCATCATCACCCACACTAAACCAGTACTCCCATCAGAACCCAACCAGGCTTCACACCATTCGCCGGAGTCATCGTGTCCAGCCGTCGACCACAATTAGTTCCCAATCGCACACCATAAAAGTCCCAACCCATCTCACCACCGACACAGCAAACCACCAGCCTCGTCGTAGCATCAGCCGGAATCGCATCATTATTCAGGATACCAAGCATTGCATCGTCATCGCCCGAATCTTCTCTTGCCATCGTACTCGCCGGAATTGCACAATGGGATTGTAGTGGTGAAGATGATACATGAGATAGATAGATAGATATATATATATATATATAGACAGAAGGGTGTTACAGTCTTTTAGCTCTTATAAGGGCTTTTTCGTCATTTAATGAGAAATAATCCATCACGTGAGCTGCAAGGGGTTAAAATTCAATCTCCGGTTGCCAAATTGGGTAAACTGCAACCAAACAACATAGTTTTGGGGGTTTTCTACTACTTTAGAAATTTAAGGGGGTTTTGTGCTCATTTGGGTATAGTTGAGGGGGTTTAATGCACTTTACCCTATAAAGTATGAGAATATTAAGAAGATAAACATACAAAAACAGGAAGCTTATGACTAGTTAAATGAAACACTAATAAACGCTACTCAACTAATCCTAAAATTTGTGTGACACTAATAGACACTCTGACATAGGACCATGTTTGACATTGTGTTGGACACATGAAAATCCCCTGACAATCATAGAAATGTGTCACTAGTAATTGATGCATGTTTAATTTTCTTCAAAAGAAAAATATGATTGTTCACAAGGCCAAAACTACTTAAAGCATGCAACAGACAATTTTTCATATATGGAAACAAAAAATAATTTCAAGAGATTAGATAAAATAATGGACTAAAAATAAATGATATCCATTAAATATTACTCGTGTGGCAGTTGTTGGGTAGAAGTTTGAATATATTAATTAAAATTTAAAATATATGGAAGTCGTGTATCGTGTCCATGTCTGGTCTGCATTCGTGCTACACAGCCATTGAGTCTACCTTTGAAGCAAACTCTCTCTCTCTCTACGTTTTATAGACACACGTATTTTTTAGTTGATGCATTACTTTATTCTAGCATTCGAATATTTGAGGAATACCTTTATATCTCACGAGGAAATGGAAAATCTTTTGTATCATGCAACTCAAAAAACAGACATCAGCATATAATCTGATACTTACTGCTTGCATCAGATCATAAATTTCAGACTCCTTAAGGTTAGCACCAAATCTTTTTAATCCAGCCTTGAGTTCTTCAAAAGTGATTTGACCACTGTTGTCAGTGTCTATCATCTTGAACATTTCTTTCAGGCCAGCAATTTCTTCTTCAGATAGATTTTCTGCAATTACCTGCAAGAAATAACAGTCCTTGTTGTTACACAAGTTTCAACATAACACCAAATATGTTTCTTTTGGTTCGTCTGAACCTCCCCCCACCAACAACAACAACAAAAAGGGCTAAATAGGTTTCTTGATACATAAGTTCATGCACATATTAATTGGCCTTAAAATGTTTTAATAAACATAAGTCTGCATGCTAGTTTTCCTAAAACAAGTCTTGTGCATCCACTGGACAAAGGACTTACTCTAAGAGCCATTTTCTTGAGCTTGTTCATGGCAGAAAATTGTTTCATGCGACTTAGAACTGCAGAATCAAGAGGTTTGTCAGGAGCCACACCATCCACTTGAACCCAAGGGTGGCCTGCAAAGATTTTAAAACTGCATATCAGTGACAAAGTCATCAAAATCATATTTGAGATATGATCTTTAGGAAGCTTCAGGATGGAATCATGAGATAACATCCACAACTGTAAGATTCAATGTTATGGGTAAAAATAGAGAAAATTATATAATGCATTCAACTTGAGGAAGGAAGAGTAGCAATTAAATAAGACAAAATAAAACGCAAAAACTAGAAGCAAATTCAACTTGAGGAAGCAAGCGAAACAATGAATACTTTTGGGGAAAAAAAGGTAAATAAAAATAAAAATATTTGAGTAAAATAATCTAAAACTGGCAATTGAAACACACAAGTCATTGGAAATGCACAAAAATGTAGAAAATTTCAGTTGCTAACATTATTTGTAGAGGAAAGGCTGCTGACAATGATATTAAAGTTCTTCCTTCAATGAACAAAACCATGCTATGAATTCAAAGAACTTAAAATGTAGCTTGGTAAGTGAAAAAGAAAATTCATTCTACTCTATAACTCAAATGAAAATCATATTAATCCTGATAGGAGTCTCAATATTATACTAAGCTTAGAAGACTGGGAAAAACTCAAAAGGGATGGTTAGGATTTGAGAATCATGGCAGGTAAACTCATATTAGGCTAGGGAAACTAGAATTTATTATATTTTTGTCAAAAGATGACAAGAAGAATGGCAGCACAGCAGTAGTCGTGGTGGAATTGAGCTTTCTCAATAGACTTAGAAAACCCAGTTCATCCATCATCCAATAATTCGAAAGAACAAAGTTAGGAAGAAATTGCCATCCATTGTGCAAATAATCTGGCAGGCCCCTGTTTATTTCAACAACGTAATAAGGTTTTCCGGTTCAACTCTCTTATCCAATAGAGATAAGAGTGCAGTAATGGATATCCAAGCTATACAAGTTCATCAAAAATATTCCAGTAAGAAAGATAACTGTTTCTTAATAGAAAACAATTATCTGACAAAATAACCCAATGTAAATACTTCACTATCAATTACTGGAAACCCACAGTATAATGATGTAGCAAAAGCTCCAAATATTTGCAATGATTAAACGTGTACATATCCAGCATTAGGAGCTATGACAACCATAAACTAAAGATCTCCAAACAGAACCACAACCACTACGATGGTATTTTAGTTCAAAAATTTGTAAATTTTTCATTGAAGTTCAGAAAATAATGGCAAAGTAGCCAGGATAGGGTTGGAACATTGAAAGCTGTGTTTCAACTTTCAAGTTTTTAACAGCCCAACCTAGTAGAAAAGACAAATTGTTTTTAACACCCCATAGCACCAATGCGTTTCAATGTTAAGAAATGAGGGAAAATGCTATTCAACCTGAATTTCCATCTTTGAATCAAGTGATCTTCGTGTCATAGTAGATAATTAAGCATAATGCAATTGTGAAGACTCACAGAGAACTTCGTGTGCAGTTGGCCGCTTTTTAGGGTCTCGAACAAGCATTCTCCTCACCAAATCTTTTGCACTTTCTGAAATACTTGGCCAAGGATCTGAAGAGAAGTCAAGATTACCATGCAGGACCTCTTCAAATATTCCTTGCTCGCTTTCTATATAATCAAGACAAGGGCGAAGAAGAATAAGAAAAAGAAAGAAGGGGGAAATGGTTATCATCAGTAACATGGAATCATATATAGAGCAACAGATTTAGATTGACAAGATAGATGTAAATTTCAACAAATTCTGAATCTCTCACCGGCCCAGAATGGAGGTACTCCACTTAACAAAATGTAGACAATAACCCCTGCACTCCAGACATCTGCTTCAGGACCATAGCGCTTTCGTAAAACTTCTGGTGCAACATAATATGGGCTACCAACCACATCATTAAATTTTTCACCTGAAAGGATTAAACTATCAGTTCTAAATTAGAGATTAAAAAAAGGGGCTAGCACGAGGCTCCTGCCATTGCGGGGAATTAGAGACTAAAGAGTAAAATTTATAGCATTAAGTATAATAGCTGTGAGTTCATTGAAGTGTCAGACAAGAGTCTGTAGAACAGCAGAAGCAGTGTTAAATCCCTCCGCCTAGAGATCCATCTGCGAGCACACGTAATCACGCATGCAAGTGGAACCTGGGTTATACTGTTGAAAACAGTTTTAAGAAACCAATCACAATGCAACTTAAGGTTGTATAATGGTTTATTATGACAACAAATTTTTGGAATGCCAAATGGTAAACTTAACAGACCAATCTAAAACCAATGATTCAATTTTGGGTTTTACTTTCATGAATCATCAAATTTATTTCATCTTAAAGTCCACCAAATTTTACTCAAGCATAAGTGCATTGATGGTATCTATAAAAAGGCTGCACAATTTCAAAACTGTCTAATCCAGCAGTGAATATATGGTCCTGTTATTTAGAAACAGAATATAATAGTAGACAACCTCATGACTACAAGGTCAAATAAAACAAAGAAAATTCAACCAGTAAACAAAGGAAACCAAGGAATTTATCACACTCAATACAATTAGCGATCTAATGTAATGAACATCACTTTGCCTAGAGAGAGAACCAGCTTTCGCTGGTAACACATATATATTCACAAACCTGGTAGGGAACTTACTAAAATGTGGCTATCTATGTATAATGTCAGGTCCAAACTTGATGTAGAGATAAACATAAAGTGTTTGAAACTTCAATTGGAACCACACCCATTTAATACAAGTCTACTGAGAGCTGAGCAGCATAATCAGATCATCAGAACGTTTTCAAAAAATCTCTAACCAATAAATTACAATGACAGACTACGAAATCAATTATAGGAGCAACATGCACAATACAATACAAAACCATACAAACTATACCTGGCTTGAAGAATATTGATAATCCGAAGTCAATTGTTTTGAGAAGCGAATCCTCCTTCTGATCAACTAAAAGAAAATTCTCAGGCTTAAGGTCTCGATGCATAACTCCCAAAGAATGGCAAGTTTCAACAACCCCAACAATAATCCTAGTAAGCTCTGCAGCCTTTCTTTCGGAATAATGACCGCGCTGAATAATTCTATCGAAAAGCTCACCCCCTGCACACAACTCCATAACAACATGAACTGCCACTGCATCCTCATAAGCCCCTTTAATTGATATAACATTTGGATGCCCTGCCAAGTGGTGCATTATCTGAATTTCCCTCCTCACATCCTCCACATCCTCATCAGATATCAACTTCCTCTTCGCAATCGATTTACAAGCATACTCTTTCCCTGTTGCTTTCTCCACACAAAGAAATGTGGTTCCAAATTGCCCTTGTCCTAATTTCTTCCCCAAACTGAAAAACTCCTTCAAATTACCAGTTTTTGTTTGCAACACTGAATTGATCCGAAGGCCACTAGGCACCCTCTTCATACGTGGGGACTTCTTGGGATTTGCCGGTTTCTCTTGTTTTGATCCCGGCTTCGGAATTGTCACATGTTCTGGTGGTTTGCTTTGGACTGGCATAGGTGATTCTAGGTCTTTCAAGGAAGATTGTGCCTCATTGACAGTTTCACCATTAGTAGTAGAAGCTGTGTCGTCCGGTGATTTGGACCGCCACATTGCAGCCGAAACTGATTGAAAAAAAACATTTTTTGAAATGCTTGGCCCAACACAAGTATTCCCCATATGGTACTACAATCAATTCCTTCACAATACTCCCTCTACTTTCAACATTAAGATCTAATTCTATTCACTAAGATCTGATTTTTCATCATAAACCCAATATCATACTCAAGTCAAACCACCTAAAATTAACTCCAAATTTGTCAAAGAAAATAAATCAAAACCAAAGCTCTAATTATCTAAAATCAAGTCAAAAATTAACTCAAAAATCGTCAAATAAAATAAATAAAAAACAAAGCTCTAATTATGTAGAATGAACTATAATTGATGTTAAAATCAACAAATATAACAAAATCAAGTGATGCCCACTAAAATCAAAATCAAAATCAAAGGTTAGATTGAGGGAGTGAAACGGTAATTGATGGCAAACCCAAAAAAGAGCAAAGATTTATATGTAGCAAGCATAACATAACAATAGAAAATGAAACTCTGTTATACAAGCAGAGAAAACAAAAACAAAAAAAAGAGAACCCAAATGAATTCAAAAAGTCAAAACATCTATTGATCAACGATCAAATTTGATCTACTGAAAAAAAATAAACATAAAAGAACAGAACAGAAGGGAACAGAGTAACCCTTTAATTTCTTCAACAATTCAACGTGGGAAAGTTACAGCGGCCAAGAAAAGTACAAGGAAGATAAGTTAAGATCTTGATGAATACAAAGTGCCAGCTTCAGCTGAGGAAGTGTTTGGGAGGTAAGAAATTTTCGACTAATTTTTGGTTTATATACTTATATATGGCTGTGTGTGTGTGTGTTCAGACAGAATTTTCTTTTCGAATCTTTCACGGAAAACGCGTATGATGATCGGAGGACATGCCAATCCCTACCTCTCGTCTCGTTCTCGCTGTACTTCTTAGAGTGGGTTTTGTCAACTCCTTTCGTATTTGGTCAGTGGTCAAGATATATTTTCCTCTTAATTAATTAATTTATTTATCTATTTAATTAATTAATTCACCTATTCACTATTTACAAGGAAAAGACATCCGTAACCCACTTTTCAACATTTATAGACAGAATTGACTAATTTAACATTAACTTTATAAATAAATAATTATAATTTTTTAAATGACACAATAATTTTTTTATATTATTTCTTCCTATCTCTAATTTTTAATATTTAAAGTATCTTTTGACAATATAAATAAAATACAATAAAATTTGAATAATTTTGTTATGTTTAATAAATTATCTCTTTTGACTAGACCAAAAATAAATAAAAAGTAATTATTAAAAAAATTATATCTTTTGATATGAAAAAAAAAAATTATAAAAAATATATATTTATTGAATAAATTATTAATATTGTCTTTATCGAATAAATTTTTTTTTTTTTTTACTTACCAAAAAATAAAGTTACCTCTTTTGACAAGATTGAAAAAAAAGTTAATTTTGTTAAATAAATATCTCATTGTACCCAAAAAAAAAAAAATCACTATAAAATAAATTATCCCTTTTGATTGCCAAAAATAAAATTATTAATATAGAATAAATTATTTTATTTGAGAGGAAAAAAAATAGTAAAGATAGTAAAAAAATAATAATAATAAATTATATAAAGAGTAGTTATAAGATTATAAATTAAAAAATTGTACATTAATGAATTCAACGTCCTTCTTGTCAATTTTTTTTTAAAGAAATTGAGGAGAAAATTGGAGTGCATACATGGTTTCCCTTTCATAATTATATTGAAAAATAATTTTATAATTTACTTTTTAAGGTTAATTTTTTTATTTCATTTATTGATAAGGACAAGTAAAATAAAAGTATATAAAAAGGAGTGTCAATATCATATCCTTCATAGTGTTGGGAAAAAAAAAATATTAATATTAAGAAGAAGAAAAAAAAATTTAAGTTGCATTCAGATTATCGAATGGACGATTTATGCTCTGGTCATTAGGAATTAAAAAAAAATTGGATAGAAAATAAGGAATGGATGAGACAACGGAAGAAATTGTATATTTTCTTTTTATTGTTCAGTTGGATAGAAGAAAAATCTCATAATTTACTATGTTAGTTAAGAGTGAAGGAAAGAGAATGTTTTAATTAATTTTACCATTATATCCAATAATATTTATAATATAGTAATTTATAAAAGAGAGTATTGTAATTTAAAACTTGTATAATTTATTATATTATTTAATTAAAAACTTCTATAATAGTTCACTTGTCTCCCCTCCTTTCTTCCGCGCATTTTTAAGGTGATGAAAAATTGTAAAGATAATCCTTCATATTCTCCTTTATTTCCTTGTTTCATATTCTCCTTTATTTCCTTGTATATCTCTACAAACAATGGAAGCTCTTTCTTTCTCCTTTATTTCCTCGTATATCTCTATAAAAAATGGAAGCTCCTTCTTTCCTTCGTATTTTCTCCCCGCGCATCTTTCTTATCTTTTTTTTTTTTTTTTTTTTTCTTAGAGCATGCACATAGCTATTCCTTTCTACTGAACATAACATTAAATTTAGAATCAGAGAAAATTTAGTTCAAAGTATCGATTGAATATTTACAAACATACCATGAGTGAGTATAACTATTTTTTCAAAAATAAATAAATCAATTAAGTGAATTTAAATAATTAGTGGCTCATGTTAAAAAAAAAAAAATTTAGTAAATATTTGGAAGTATTATGGACGGTATATCGGGATTTGAAGTTTTTTTTTGTTTTTGTTAATAACAATAGTAATTATACAGGTAGACCATTCAACGTTTATTATATTAAACTTTCTTTAGATTTGTCAATGCTCAATTATACTTTGTCAGTCTTGGCTACTTCTTTTCGAGACATAAGTTGAATTTTTTTTATAAAATGACATTACTATTCATGTATGAAAATTTTTTTATCCTTCCATTTTATGAAAATCTTACTATTCATGTATGAAAATTATAACATTACTAACTTTTAACACTTAAAATCACTTTTCGACAACCAATAGGCGTATTTTTAGGGAGGGCATTGTAATTTATCCCAATAACAAAGATATATAATTAATACTCTAAATAATAATATTTAAATTCTATAAAGATCACCCGTACTTAGAAGAAAGCCAATCACCAAATGTATTTTGCAAGAGTTGAGAGGGTCTTGATTTGTGTTTAAAATTTGGACCCCAAAAGTGTATATAATTTCTTTCCTATTTTAATCGAACAATGACTATAATTAGTTGGGTTGGTCACCTACACCAGTTATATATGTAATTGGTGTGTATATATATTATAATGTGGTAATAGCAACGTAACAAGTGAGGCACAAAAAAGTTGTTATGGTGGGCACATTGGATGATTATTTAAATTTAGTGAAGTGATGGGAAATGGATGGGAAATTAGCAACCAATTAACCATCTGATACGTGTTTCCTACTTTATTTTTGTTTACTCTTTTTATAATATTCTGTTAGTTGGTTCAATTTATCTGTAGAATTAGAACTAATTCGATTTCAAGGGTTTCATACAAAAAACAATAATAAAAAAATAACAATTGAGATCGAACCAAGTGAAGTGGGCATCAAGTGAAAAACAAAGAAGAAGACGAAAAGTGAGCATCAAAACTCAACCAATTTGAATTATACAAGACTATATATATATTTTTATTATTATTTAAAAATGTGACAACTTCCTAATATAAATGATAATTATACAAAGGATATATAGGTTGGGAACTTGGGATTAGATTAGATATTTTGCCCTTGATACATAACCGAACCGAATCGATTTGAAGGGTACAAAATAAAATCAAAACCCCTTCAAAATCGAACAAATTTGAATTTTTTATAACAAGTTTTTTTTTTTGTTTTTTTTGTTTCAATAATTTGGTATTTGCAAGTGGTTTCATGGCTGTCTTACAGTAAAAATAAAATAGTTTTTCATGGTAGAATCATAGGATAATGATTTTAATTAGTAAATTAAGTGAAATTAGAAGTAAGAGATTTCTCTTTATTTTGTTGTGATTAAATGAATAAATAAATATAAAATGTTGATGGATGAATTTTATTAGTGGTCTAAAGTGCTAACAACGATGGACACCGCAATCAATGCCCATGTTGCCGGCCAATCCAAGTAATTGCTTTTAAACAAATGAAGCCAAATGCAAAGAGACTTTTTAAGGGAGACTTTTGTGTGTGTGATACTCTTATTGGATGAGGTGATTTATTTTAACGGGCGCACTTGTTCGTTTATTTAAAAATTAAAATTATTGGGTAATCCTTGTTGCGACTTGGGCTCATTGTCTACATAAATTGGCTCACCTGGATATCTTCCGGACGTGACGCAAGTTCAAGTTATTAGATAATCCTGCATACCTACCCATTTATACCTAATCATTTTTTCATCCGAATTCAATGTGGGACAAATGACCCTTCTTACATTTATTTATAAAATCGCGATAATTATTTAAGGATATCAATTTAACCGGTCTCATCTAGTCCATTTCTATTGGGACGGGTTTAAAATCATCATAATCGAGTTAGGGATGTGTTTGAAACTTTAAAAAGATAGTTTAAAATTCGCAAAGTACCGAATCTGCATTGATTAATAATTATTATATAGATAAATATTATTTTATTAGCTATAATTTTCAATTTTTTTCTTTTATAATATTTTTAAAATTTAACAATGTTTTTGTTATTATTGTTGTTAAATAGTTGACTATACTGCGAAAAAGTTACAAAATTTATCATAAATTTATTCAAGTTTGAATTATTTTTTAAAAAAAATATAAATATCACGATGCCACAAATCGAGTTTGAGAAAGAAAAAAATTATTGATTGAAAGAGTTTGAGAAAGAAGTGTCACTTCCTCAGTTCCAAACCTGTCCCGTTGGCATTCACTCACCGTTAAAAAAAAATAATAAAAATAAAAAATAAAAAATTGTCAATAAGTCTTTTGATTACACATACGACTATTAAGATGCAGTAAATTAATTGATAATCTTGAAGGCAATAATTAACCTTTTCACTGTTATTGGATTAATTGCAAATATTAATGATTTAAAGCTCTTAATTTCTTCAATAAGTATGGATTGATGTGATCTTTTTTCATATAATTGCTTAGAAGCTGACAGGACCATGTCAAAATCTTCCAGCTCGAGTTCATTTAAATAATTGAAATTTCATACAAATCAGCACTCTCCTCTCTCTCTCTATACACACACCCACACACACACACAAACTTAGTCACGCAAGGATGATGTGTAAAATATATTGATTACTTGTTGTGGACGTGCATGTTGGTGGCTCAATAAACTACTTTAGTACTTTTATAGGCATACCTTCGAGGAAACTAAGTGCAACAAATGGGGTACTCAATATTGCATATTTTGATTTTTGATGGTATCATGTGGTTGCTGTGGGTGTAGGATATATAAATATACATACACACGTGGGCGCGCCAATAGTTGCTGCTATGACTTAATTTTATTCCGGCATTATCCAATGCCTTAGTACTTTATTCGTGTTCGAGTCCCCTTAACCAAAAAAAAAAAAAAAAAAAAGAAATCAAATCCTTTCAAGATAACATTATTTTTTATGGAAAATTTGGGATTGTAATGACAAAATATTCATGTGATAAGCATTTTTTTTAGGAGTTTTAAGTACTTTTCTTCCATGAATATTTGTTATATGTTTCATTGCGCATGGTGTGTGTGTGATGGGGATTTAATGCTATAATTGTTGGAGATTAATTTTGAACGTCTGTAGAAATATTTTAGAAGTAAGACTTGTGATCATGTAAAATCCATCAGTAATAACTTTCTTGTATATAATTATATTATTTTATTTTTTTGTCTAAGCAAATAATACGCCTGCCTTATTTTTTTTTTTTGGGACTTTGATCTTTAGATACCACATATTACAATTCTTAATATATTTAACGACGGTGTCAGTAATCAAT